TTTCTTTTATTATGCTCTTCTCACTACTCGACTCTTTTCCTAGTTATAGAGAGGACTAGGGTTAAAGAGGGCGTGTCCTCCTAGTTAAAAAGGAAAGTAGGCGGAGCCTATCAAGTTATCAGAGAGGGCGTGTCTTTTTAATTAAAAAGAAAAGTAGGCGGAGCTTATCAAGTTATTAAAAAGGGCGTGTCTTTCTAGTTGAAAAGAAAAGTAGGCGGAGCCTATCAAGTTATTAGAGAAGGCGTGTCTTCCTAGTCAAAGAGGGATGAAGGCGGAGCCTATCAAGCTCCTCCCTTTTGGGTTCTTCTTTATGCTTATTTCTTATCTCGTTACTTTTCGAGTTCGACTTTTTTTAATTCGACCATTTTATGCTATGATTTTTTTTTTAGAAAGGAAAAGGTGAATACTAACTTATCTATCTCTTTTCTCTTCAATCATAAAAGGGACATTTCTCAAAAACTAAGCAATATTTAGCCCTGGTTAACAAATATTATTTATGATTAAATTCTACTTCTTCTTCATCATCATCGTCATCATAACTAAAGCAAGTAATAGCCAACACGTTGAGGTAATAATTTCAAAACTTCTAATTAACAGGAAACACATGAATCTTTGGCCTGAGAGATATATCTATAATAGTAATAATAATAATTTCCCCACGGAAATGACTTGATTTCCTCCATCGCAAGTTTCTATTTAAACAAGTTTTAGTTCCAATTATCATCAAATAGTCAATGTTTATTTTCAAACATCATGTTTGCATTTTGAATTTAATAAAAATTAATTAATTCTTTCAGTCTTTAAATATTATTTATTAAAAAAAAGTAGACAGTAATTTTTACTGAATGGTAATTTTCCAAATAACAAGTTTGTTTCCTATGAAAATGGAAAAGTAGAGGTCAATGTGAAAAGGATGAATATTACAAAACGAATGGGAGAAAAGGGAAGGGGTTTGTCCTTTCGTGATTTACATTGCGGTATTAGAGTTTGGGGACAGGGTGGGTGGGTGGAGATTGATTATAGGAAACATCGAAACGGTAGCTGATTATCTAGCGACAGAGATTGGTTCATATCAGTAGCAGATGAAGTACCATGGCAGTTAAGGAAAGGAGGTGGAGGGGAGATTGTACATCTTCTCTAATTAACTGCTGATTCGCTCTTGTTCTGTTTGACCCCTTTTACCCCTTAACACTTCTACACTCCCTATTCTCTATCATTTGTCGTCATATACCCTTTTTCTCCTACTCTCCACTCCAATCTTTGTTTTTTACTTCTCTTTCTCCTATTTCTCTCTTTTTGTGTCTCCTTTCTTCCCTCTTTATTTTTTTTCATCCTCTCTTTACCTTTCATCTCCCCATTCTTTGTGTCTCTTTTTGTCTCTATCCCCCCTTCTTTTACTCTTTCCCCGCTCTACATTTTCTTCCCCCTCTTTTACACTCTTCATACCTCTTTCTCCCTCTATTTTTTACTCTTTTCCTATCTCTTTAACTTTTTTAACCTCCTCTCTTTACTTTCCTTCTCCCCTCTGTTTGTCTCTATATCCCCCTTCTATCACTCTTTTCCCCTCTTTGACACTCCTTTTTGTCTCTTTCTACCCCTTTTTTACTCTTTACCCTTTCTGTGACCTTTTCTTCACCCTCTTCTCACCTTCTTTTCCCCTCATTCTACCTTTTAATACTTCTCTCCTATCCCTTTGTTTCTGTTTTTGTCCTCTTTTCCCTTCTCTCCATACCCTTTTCTCCCCCTCCTCTTAGTTCTTCTTTTTTTCTCTTTCTACCCTATTTCCACTCTCTTCTCCCTCTTTTTCCTTTTGGTATTATTTCTCTCCCTCTTCCATTATTTCTTTTTGGCATCTTTTCACTTTTCTGTATCTTTCATTTCTTTTCTCCTTAATTTCACCTCATCATTTCTCCTTCTTCTGTTCTTTCTCTTACCCATCTCTCTACATTTTTCCTCTCATCTCCCATCTCCCCTCTCTTGTCTCTTTTCCCTTTCTTCCTCTCTCCCTATTTTTATTACCTTTCTTCTTCTCTTGGTCATCTTTTTATTTCAATCTCCCCTTTCCTTCTTTTTCTTTCTTCACCTTTCTTCTTTTTCTCCCCTTCTGTGTCCTTGACCTCTTCTCTCCTTTCTTTCTTTGTCTCCTTCTACTCTTTTGCTCTTTCTTTTTACCTGCTATCTTATTCTCCCTTTTTCGCTCTCATTGCGCTTTTTCTTACTCCTTCCCCATTGTTTTTGCTCCTCCCTCTTTTAATTTTCCCTTTTCTCCTCTTCATACTCTTTTTCCTCACCCTTTGAATTTCTTTTTTCCTTTTTCTTCCTTCTAATCTTCTCTTGTTTCCGTTTTCTCTTTTCTTTTCCTTTCTCTCTTTTCTCTTCTCCTTCTTCTTCCCTTCCATCTTTTTCTTTTTGCCTTCTTCTTCCCTTTACTATTTTTAACATTCTCTCTCCTTCTTTCCTTTTTTTATCTTTTCTTGGGTTTGGTAGTGAAAAGTATGAAATGGGTAAGGAAAAGTGGGAAATTTTCTGAACAAAATAAAAGGGCGAAATTCTAATTCCCTCCCTCCTTTTTTTGAATCTAAGAAGAGGCGTGAGAGAAAGACAAAATTAACTTTCAAGGCAAATGAATATTAGTGGGTATATCCATAATTCACTCGAGAAACCTTCAAGACAGTTGGAAAATTGAAATTGAACGTGAGAGACTTTATGGAAATATATATTCTGTCATAGATTTTGATTTGAATTGGGTCACAGAGTGTCTCTCATATATGAGGAAAAGCGAATTGCACAAAAGGAGAATTGAATTTAACATGTGCTTAGAACTCCATTTTGGATAGTGCACATATAGGTGTATATAGTTATAAGGGGGAGGGGGAAAGTGTTGAGGCACCTTGGCTATTTGCTAATATCCACAAACTATTCGTCGTTGGTCTAAACGATCCGGGGAATTTGAATCGTATCGGTCTTGAAAGATACCGTAAATGCCAATCTGTCGAAATATCGATTCAATTCCTTTTCCCACCCACCCACCTTACCCTTCTTGTGCATCCTTGCAATTGGCTATAATGTTATTTTGTATTCTTTGGTGGGAAATTGTAATAGAGAAAATATTTTGTTATTTGAAGAATTTTTTTTACTTTCCTTTTCTACTTCTTTTCTCTTCTTCTTTTTTTAGTATTCTATTACTTTTACTCTACTTTCTTCAACTTTTCTCTTTCCCTATTTCTATTCTCCCCAGTTTTTCAACTTATTTTCCTATTCTTTGGCTTTTTCCACTCTTTACGTATTCCTTCTTTTAATTTTTCTACATCCTCCATTTTTCTATATTCCTTTTTCTCTTCTCTGCATTTTTCCTACTCCTTTCCCTTTAATTTTGCTTTTAAACTTTTCTTCTTCTTTTACTGCTCTTACTTTCCTCCTTTTTTTTTCTTTTCCTATTTCTATTCCAATCATTTTTCCTACTCCCTTCCCTTTTATTTTACTCTTCTACTCCTTTCCTCTTCTTTTTTCTTTACACTTTCTTACTTTTACTCTACTTTTCTCAACTTTTCTCTTTCCCTATTCTCCCCATTTTTCCTACTCCCTTCCCTTTTATTTTACTTTTCCACTCCTCTCCTTCTTTTACTCCTCTTACTCACCTCCATTTTTCTCTTTTCCTACTACCTTCCCTTTTATTTTACTTTTCCACTCCTCTCCTTCTTTTACTCTTCTTACTCTCCTCCATTTTTCTCTTTTCCTATATTTATTCTCCCTAATTTTCCTACTCCCTTCCCTTTTATTTTACTTTTCCACTCCTCTCCTTCTTTTACGCATCTTACTCTCCTGCATTTTTTCTCTTCCTATTTCTATTCCAAACATTCTTCCTACTCCCTTCCCATTTGGCTCTTCTATTCCTTTCCCATCCTTATATTAGTTTACTTTCCTTAACTTCTCTCCTTCCCTATTTCCATTCTCCCCATTTTTCCTAATCCCTTTCCATTTCTTTTGCTTTTTATACTCCTTTACTTTTCTTTTTTTCCCTCTACTAGTTTGTTAATCCCTTTTCTTTTCCGTTTTGAATAAAAAAGGCAGCAAAAAGACAAAATAGGAGTAATTAAAGGGTGGTTCAGAAAGGAGGTGCAAAAAAGGGAGAAGAAACCAAATAGGGGCGGGGCTAAAATCAAAGGCAAAAAAGAGGGTGAGAAAAGAGGACGGAGCAAAATTCGAAGGGGAGATAAAGGAGAAGCAAAGGATTGCAAATGAAGAAGGGAAAATAGAGGTGGAGTTAAAATCTTCAGAAACTGAATGGCAAAAGAGGGCGGAGCAAAATTAGAAGATGCGATAAGGGAGGGGCAAAATGATTGTAATAGAAGAGGGGGAATTGGGGTGGGGCTAATATCAAAATCCTATTTTAGCTCCTCCCCTTTTTCCCCTCTTTAGCTCCTCCCCTTTTGCCTTCCTCTTTGTCGCATTTAGGAAAAAGAGGGTGGAGCCTTATTAGAATAGGAGATGAAGGAGGAGGAATAGGGTTGAAAAAGAAAGGGTGAGTGGGGCGGAGCTAAAATCTCTAAACAGAATGATGCAAAAAAGGGCGGAGCAAAATTTGGGGAGGAGCAAAAAGGCGTAATAGAGGCGGAGCTGAAATCACTAAAAAGGGCGGAGAAAAATTGGGGGATGAGCAAAAAGAGGGGTAGAAAGGTAGGACGTTCAAATAAAGGCGGAGCATTATTGGAAAAGGAAAAAAAATTGGGTGGAGACAAAAGGAGGAGTAGAAAAGTATAGGAGTGGCAAGTAAAGGCGGAACAAAATTGGGGGAAATAAAGGAGGAGCAAGAGGGTTAAAAAAGGAGAAAGGGGGGAGGAGCGAAAAAGGGATAAAAAGGTAGGAGTTGCAAATAAGGGCTGAGAAAAATTGTGGGAGGAGCAACATGCAAATAGGGGCGGAGCAAACCAAAAACCTCCCTTATTCGATTGAGAAAAATTCAATCAGACAAAAGAAATAAAAAACTAAGTTCCACTCACCTCGAGAATGGACTGCTAATGATGTAATGAGTGTAGTAAAATATGCTCGCAACTGATATCAAAAGTAGTGCAGCAACACATCTCTTGACCGTCGTCTGCTTGACGATAAATCGTGGTCCAACATCGCCAAAGAGTGGAATACCAATTTCTCCCGTCGGGATCTTCATCACTAACACCATAAAAATTCCAATCGTCCCTTTGTTTTTATTCTCAAAAAAATTATTCAAACAATTAAAGACATAATTTTTCTTTTTGAAAAAAAATAAATCGATGGGAATAAAAATTTTTTTCGAGCTAAAATTTTCTTTTTTGCTTCCGTCGTGTTATAAATTATGTTTATTTTGACAAAAATGGATTTCTTCTTCTTCTTCTTGATAAGTATTCTTTTTTCTATATAATAAGAGGCGTGTCATGTACCGATTTCCCGCGGTGACGTTTTACGACATTAGAAGAGAAACTTGAAATGCTTTTCTCGTTTTATGGCACACTTAAGAGATCGCAGCCTTAAAGTCCTCATTGCCACTTGTTGCATTGTGAGGACGCGACCGCCATTTTGCCAATGAGATTTAATGGCGTCGTCCATGGCGAGTCGTCACTCTTTTTTCTGTTTAACCCATTTTTGTTGTTTTGTCGAATAAATTTTTACTATTTAAATTTCTTTTTCTCTTTTAAATATTGGATGTCCCGAATCCTTTTTATACAGGCGACGAATCAACTCATCGCTTGCGAGAGAATAATACTCGGTGTCATATTGATGGCGCCAATGGCGGGAAAATTTGAATTCTAATTTTGCTAAGAAATATATTTTCTTTCTTGAATTGTTTTCTTTTTCCGGGTGAATTTTTTTTTTCATCCGTTTCGAACGTGTATGTGTGTGTATATAGGTTGCCTCGTAAATTTTCTCTTCTCTTCCTGACAATTAGTGAACGTTGAAAAGGGTCACGATCCACAAGAACCACAAAAGTCGTTATCGATCTGTTTCCTTTAGTGGAGAATTTCTTTTTTCTGTAACAAAAAAGAAAATTAACCTAATTAGATTATTGCACAGACTTAAATAAAAATGATTTTTAAATGAAAAAATTAAATTAAACGAATTATTTCTCAATTTTCGTTAATTACTTCTTAATTTAACTGTTTTATTTTTTAATTTAATTTTCTTTTATTTAATTCTTTTTCACTTAAATAAAAATTAAATTCGAAAAGGAAAATTAACAAGAGTTATAATTCTAAAATTAATATCCGAGAGAGTAAATTTTTAATGCAATAAATATTGTAAGATTTTCTTTTTCTTTTTTATTTTAAGCAATGTTACTAAGCTTCTGTAAATAGCAATATCATTCTAGACGAAGAAGCATTCAGAATGAATGAATCTGCCCTCATACCAAAGACACCTCCCCCTCACCCCCCTGCTTTCACCCTCTCTCGCCCCACCTTTGACGCCATCCACCCCTCCCCCCCCTCACTATTCGCCTTCAGTACATTTGCCAGATTAAAACTCTATTCAGCTATCTATATCAAAAAATATGTGTAAATATATTTTATATATATATATATTTTTTGGGGGCATTAATGGAGAAGGAGTATATAAGAGACTTTTTATACTCGCTTTTCAAATTAAACTTTATCGAATGTCAATAATAATAATAATAATAATAATAATTTATAGATGTCTGCTTTCTCTCGATTTTGATAAAAGAGATTTCTTATAGGTAAACAAAAAAATTTCCAATACTTTTCTGAATTACTTTTTGATATTTTTATTTTTAAAGATGATTTAAAAATAATATTAGACATCTGTAAGTGTAATATTAATGTAAATTTTAGTTAAATTGAAAGTAACGTTAAGTAAATTTTTAGGTAATATTAAGGTAATTTTTAAGATTTTCAAATAACATTAACGGACAAATTTAAAGTTTTAAGAGATATTTACATTACTTTAAAGGTTAAAATTAACTTTAAAGGCTTAAAGTAACGTTTGAATAACTATAATGGTTTAAAGTAACGTTTAAGTGACTTTAAAGGTTCATAATAACATTAAAGTAACTTTAAAGGTTTACAGTACCGTCTTAGAAACTATTAATTACTAACTATTAACTTACTATTAAGTAATTTTAAAGGTTGAAAGTAACAGTTACGTAAATTTAAAGGTTTTAAAGTTTAAATAACTATAAAAGTTTAAAGTAATTTTAAAGTTTTAGATTAACTTTTACATAACTTTGAATGTATAATGCTACGTTTAAGTAACCTTAACGGTATCAAGTAACGTTTAAAAAACTTTAAAGGTTCAAAGTAACGTTTAAGTAACTTTAAAGGTTCACAGTAACGTTAAAATAACGTTAATGGTTTAAAGTAACATTTAAGTGACTTTGAAGGTTCAAATTAACTTTAGAGTAACTTTAAAGGTTTAAAGTAACATTTAAATAACTTTGAAGTTTAAAATAAACCATTAAGTAACATGAAAGGTTCAATGTAACGTTTAAGTAACTTTAAAAGTTCAAAGTAACGTTTAAGTGACTTTGAAGGTTCAAATTAACGTTTAAGTAACTTTAAAGGTTTAAAGTAACATTTAAATAACTTTGAAGTTTAAAATAAGCGATTAAGTAACATGAAAGGTTCAATGTAACGTTTAAGTAACTTTAAAAGTTCAAAGTAACGTTTAAGTGACATTGAAGGTTCAAATTAACGTTTAAGTAACTTTAAAGGTTTACAGTAACATTTAAATAACTTTGAAGTTTAAAATAAACAATTAAGTAACATGAAAGGTTCAATGTAACGTTTAAGCAACTTTAAAAGTTCAAAGTAACGTTTAAGTGACTTTAAAGGTTCAAATTAATTTTAGAGTAACTTTAAAGGTTTAAAGTAACATTTAAATAACTTTGTAGTTTAAAATTAACGGTTAAGTAACTTTAAAGGTTTTGAGTAACGTTTAAATAACTATAAAAGTTTAAAGTAACTTAAAAATTTTAATGAAACTTTTACATAACTTTAATTATTAAATGCAACGTTTAAGTAACTTTAAAGGTTTAAGGTAACGTTTAAATAACTTTAAAGGTTCAAAGTAACGTTTAAGTAACTTTAAATGTTTAAATTAACTTTCAAATTACATTGAAGGTTTAAACTAACCATTAAGTGACTATAAAAGTTTTTAGTAATTTTAAAGGATTAAAGTAACGTTTAAGTAGCTTTTTATTTTTAAATAATCTTTTCAGGTTATATCGTTAATATCGTTAATAGTTTAAAGTAACCTTTAAGTGACTTTAAAGGTTCAAATTAACTTTAGAGTAACTTTAAAGGTTTATAGTAACATTTAAATAACTTTGTAGGTTAAAATTAAAGTTTTAATAACTTCAAAGGTTGAAAGTAACGTTTAAGTAACTTTTAACGTTTAAGTGACTATTAAAGTTTAAGTAATTTTAAAGGATTAAAGTATCGTTTAAGTAACTTTAAAGGTTTCAAGGACTGTTTTAATAACTATAAAGGTTCAATATACAACGTTTAAGTAACTTTAAAGGTTTAAAGTAGCGTTTAAGTAATATTTAAGGTTTCATATAACGTTCAGGTAACTTTTAACATTTTAGGTAATATTTAATAACTTTTAAAGATGTAAGTAATGTTTATGAAAAATTTTAAGGAACATAAAAAATTTTTTTATTGTTTTACGTAACATTATGGTAACTTTTAAGATTTTAAGTAACATTGTTTCATGTTTAAGATTTTAAGTAATAGTTAGGTAGCATTTAAAGTTTTAAATAAAATTATGGATGGTAACATGTAAGGTTTTGAATAATATTTAGGGAACTTTTATGAAACGTTCCGGTGATTTTTAAAGTTTAAGGTAACAATGAAGTAACTTTAAATGTTTTAAGTAACATTTATGTAATTTTTAATTTTTTAGTAGTATTGTGACATTTTTATAATTTTCCGTAACATTTAGGAAAGTTTTAAGAAAGATTTCTGTAACTTTTAAAGTTTTGAGTAACAATTATGTAACTTTTACGTTTTACGTTTTAAGTAACGTTTAGGTAACTTTGAAAGTATTAAGTAACGTTTAAGAACATTTCAAGTAAAATTAGTGTTAACTTTGATATTTTATGTGACTATCATGTAACTTTAAGGTAACTTTTGGGTAATTTCATGTAACGTTAAAATTTAGGTAACTAAACGTTAACGGTAAGGTTTAGGTAACTTTTAGTTAACTTTCAAGTAACAGTAATGTTAATTTTAATTAACTTTAAGGTAATTTTGGGTAACTTTAAGTAACGTTAAGGTTACTTTTATAGGTAACTTACAAGTTAATAACAAAAATTATGAAAATAAATAAATACAATTTTTTCTGTTACTTTTTAATTTCTTTTTAAACATTTAAAAATATTTTTTTCATATTCCTCTATCTAGATTCTTTTTTGACAAAATTGATAATGCACAATTTTCTTGTAATTTATGTGAAGGTGCCAGTGAATCCCTGCGGTATAAATTATTGACATTATTCCAACATATTTTCCAGACACTATCTCATGGGGAGTTTCTTGAACATAAAATTCTTTGTCACTGAAAATGCTATTAAATTCCACGAATTACAATGAAAACATTTCAAAATTAAACTTTTTCTATATTTATCTCTTTTTATCTATAAATATAGAAAATTTTAATTATTTATTTAAAAAAAAGGTTAAAAAATAAAAAAGTAATTGACAAACAAATAATGTTTGTTATTAAAAAGCACGAAACAAATATTTAAATTTTACTTACATTTTTATTTATTTTTTTTTATTTTTTTATTTATTCATTTTTTTAATTATATTTTTATTTGCAGTATTCATTCGGGAAAAAGAAAATGCAATTTCGTATTTTTCAAACATAAAATATGAGAAATTATTTTCAATCAAAATGATAAATTAAAATCTTAATTTTACGTGATGATATTAAAATTCAATTTATTTTGCTGCATAATGAAAAAGAGAAATTTTAATTGTAAAAAAGTTACTCCTTTTTATAAAAACAAATTCTTTAAAATCAGAGATAATTAAAATTTCCTTTTTGTGCAAATAAAAAAAACAAGAAAAAATTAAAATAGTTGGAAAAACAAGAGGAATGAAATTGTTATCATTGTCAGCAAAATTTATACATTCTCAAAAGATAAGAGAGAGAAAATTGTTTTAATATAATTAAATTTTATGGTTGACTTTCCATCTCAAAGTTATAAAATAGAAAAGTTATTCTCGTTTCGTTTCATTAAAAAATTATTTCCGAATTTAATCTCCAAGTATAAAAAGTATAATAATAGTTTGTACAAATAAATTTTGTAAAAATCGAAATTTTGATAACAAATTAATATTTTTTGTAAACAAATATTAATTTATGTAAACAAAAAATTAATTTTACTTTAAAGGAAATGAAGAATATTTTATTTATAAAACAATTTTTTATTTTGCCTTAAAAAATTTTTTATTTTACGTTAAACAATTTTTTTATTTTACATTACACAATTTTTTATTTTACATCACACAATTTTTTATTTTGCATTAAACACTTTTTTATTTTGCATTAAACACTTTTTTACTTTGCATTAAACAATTTTTTGTATTTTGTGTTAAAAATATTTTTTATTTTAGAACCAAAAATTCTTATTTTATATTAAAAAATTGTTTAGTTTACATGTGAAAAAATTGTTATATATATTAGAAGTAAAAAAAGAAAAAATGCAGATACATCTATGAGCACTGGAAATATATATCAATATTTTCCAACTTGAATAATGTTAGGTCAGTTCCCATGAGAATAAAACAAGATTTCATATATATGTACATACGGAGCAAGAAGCGACAAAATTTATTCTTTAATATTTTTTTTCTCTACTTTGTTTTATGAATGAAATTTCAAAATTTCAATACTGAGTTTCTTACAAACTTTAATATTTTTGATAATTAAAAAGAAACAGAAATAATTACAGGAAGCAGCTTAGTAAACTAATATAAAATAATAAAGTAATGTTTTACATAACTTCAAAGGTTTAAAGTAACGTTTAAAAAACTATAAAAGTTTAAAGTGTAGTTTACATAACCTAAAGTAACGTTTAAATAACTATAAAAGTTTAAAGTAACGTTTACATAACTTTAATGGTTTAAAGTAACGTTTAAAATACTTTGAAGGTTCAAAAAATAACGTTTAATTAACCTTAAAGGTTTGTAGTAACCTTTAAGTGATATTAACGATTGAAATTAACGTTTAAGTAACTTTAAAGGTTTAAAGTAACGTTTACATAACTTTAATGGTTTAAAGTAACGTTTACATAACTTTAATGGTTTAAAGTAACGTTTAAAATACTTTGAAGGTTCAAAAAATAACGTTTAATTAACATTAAAGGTTCGTAGTAACGTTTAAGTGATACTAACGATTCAAATTAACGTTTAAGTAACTTTAAAGGTTTAAAGTAACGTTTAAGTAACTATAAAAGTTTAAAATAATTTTAAATATTCAAAGTAACGTTTAAGTAACTTTCATGGTTTATAGTAACGTTTAAGTAACTTAAAGGTTCAATGTAACGTTTAAGTAACATTAAAGGATGAAAGTAACGTTTCAGTAACTTTAAAGGTTTAAAGTAACGTTTAAGTATAAGTTTAAAGGATAAAAGTAACGTTTATGTAAATTTTTAGGTTTCATATAACATTAATGTAACTTTTGGGTAACTTACAAGTAACTTTAACGTTTATACTTTTGGGTAACTTACAAGTAACGTCAACTTTACTTTTATTTAGCTTACAAGTAACGTTAACGTTACTTTTGGGTTACTTACAAGTAACGTTAAGGTTACTTTTGGTTAACTTACATAACAATGTTATGTAACATTAAGTTAACTGTTATGTAACACGACGATATATGTTATGTTACATTAAGGTAAATCGTTTTTAATTTTGAAACTAACTGTTACGAAGATAAAAATTTCTGAAAAAAAATTTTTTTAGAATATAAACGAAAATTGAGAAATTTTGTAAACTCGCTCTTACGTGTTTTATACGTTTATACACGTATTTGTATGTAAATAACAGGTGGATATATTCGTTTTTGTTACTGTTTGGTGAGCGTATAGTTATTTACGAGTTGTTTTTCTTTCTCAAGTGCACTTTCTAGGACGAATATTGCAGTCGGATTTTCATATTATTACTTTTCTCCACAAGTCGAAACTTCCCCCTTCCCCCCTCTCTAATCCTCTTGTCGTCTATCCCCACTACTCAGCCCTTTTGCACCGCAAAGCAGTTGTGTAGTTTATGGTATAAAAGTATATTTATACTTGTTTCCCCACCGCCTATTTCGCTATACTATTCAGTTACATTGTTTGGTACTATTTTATTTTTTTTCTCTCTTTTCTTCCCCTAGTGATATTTTTTTCATACCCCCTTAATACCTCTGCTAGTGCGGCCCCTTATAATACTATTATTATTATTATTATTATTATTATTATTATTATTATTATTATTATCTTTGCTATTGATACCAACAGTCGATAATGTAGATTTCTCAGTAAATTTCAAAATTTCAGGGAAAATTTGAAAGTTGAATTTGCAATTAAATATATATAAAATTTAAAATAGAAAAGAAAAATATTGTATTATAGCTTTGTTAATATCAACAGTCGATAATGTAGAATTCTTACTAAATTTAAAAAAAGTCGGGGATTTTTAAATTGTTAATTTGAAAAGGAAAAAATGCATTGCAACTTTAATAATATTAACAAGTTCAGAAAGTAGATTTTTCACTAAAAATTAAAAATAAAATTACTGGAAGTTTTGAATTAAAAAAAAGAGTTTCATAGCTGTTTTATGAATTTCTCATTAAATTATAAAAATGTCCAGAATTTTGAAATTTGAATTCGAAAAGAAAAGGGTTTATAGAAACATTATTGATATTAACAGTCAATAAGGTAGATTTCTGACTAAATTTTAAAAATTGAGGGAAATTTTGAATTTTATTTAGAAAGAAAATATGTATTTTACTGTTTTTGAGAAAAAAAACGATAAACTAAAGAAAAGTGTTTATTTAACGTACACACTGTAAAAAGAAAGGTACTAATTTAGTACCAAAATTGGTACTAAATCGTAATTTGGTTCTATTTTAGTACCGAAATCAGCTCTCATTTAGAAACTTATTTTTTTATAGTGGAATTATAATGTTAATAAACAGTATTTAGGGGAGTACTAATTATTTTATGATAATGTTAAACTATAAATTCATTTCATTTTTATTAACAAGAGAGATAGAGAGGGAGACTATTATCAAGTATATTGAACATCGACCTATAAAACGACATTCAATAATCTCATTGAGTTTCGAAAATGTCAAACGTGTTATGCCATTATTTTTGATTTATTAAAAGGAACATTTATCTATAATGTACATAAAGCAGAAAAGACATTTTCCTCCTCATTGAACTCCAAACCTCGCGAACCGTCATCTCGAATTACCGAACACCGGATATTATTTTTTATATTGAAATTTTTTTTTATTCTTTCTACTTTTTAAAAAAAAATCATAATATTGATATTTTCTTGATTTCTTTTTTCAAAAAAAGTCATTAATATTATGAAATTATTAGGTCAAAATTAAGTCAAACTTTAGGTCAATAAATAATTAAAAAAACAAAAATCCCTTAACATTAAGATTTTCCATTAACATTAAATGCCTAGGAAAAAATCACTGGTCAATAAAAGGTCAATAGGTCAATAAGACAGGTCAAATTTGGTCATTTTCTTAATATAAAAAAAAGAAGAAAGACTAGAAAATACTAAAATAATAAAGAAGGAAAAAGGAAAAAAAATGAAAAAAACAAAAAGAAATAAAATTTGAAGAAGAAAATAAATTTAGACAAAGAAAAAAAGAGATATAGAAGGGTAAATGGAGATGAAAAGTAAACGAAAAATCGGAAATACATTAAAAAAGGTTTTCAACCTCAGAATGCTTTTGTTGTTGTCGAGGAAGTCAGAGATATAGGCAAGCAAGCAAGCAAGCGCAGTTCACATACATATGAAGAAAAGTGGCAGGTAAGAGTCAAGAAGATTGACCGTCGTTACAGAGGTGGGGGGAAAGAGGAGAGAGAGGGGGGATAGGTATATGGTCGAGAAGGAAAATAAGAAGATGTGTTTGAAGGGGGTGAGGGAGATCGAAGAGAAGGACACTGAGTGCAACTCGCTGTTGAGGGGAAGTGAAGAGAATGGTGGGGAATAAGAGACGGGAGGGGGAAGGGGGTAAAAGACTGAGACGATAAACTGGTCTAGGAAGAAGGTAAACAAGGTGGTATCGCATCAACAGAGAATCGTGCCTTCAACCTGGAAGCTTCAATGGCATTCAGGATATACCACGTAACACGTGCCTCGCCTTGGTGCAATGGCTTTTTTTTCTCTCTCGCGCGGGCTCTACAACCTAAAGCCAGTCTTCTCCATTCTCTTCTCCCACGCAAACACACACGCATATATTTCCCCTCTTCCCTTTTTTTATCAATCATTACAATTAACATTTTCCTATTCCTATTCCTATTCATAATTCTATTTATATTTCTATTCCAATTCATATTCCTATTCGTATTTACATTTCTATTCATATTTCTATTCCTATTCCTATTCATATTCCTATTCCTACTCCTATTCCTATTGCTATTCCTATTCATAATTCTATTCATATTTCTATTCCTATTCGTATATACTCATATTTTTATTTCAATTCACATTTCTATTCCTATTCACATTTCTATTCATATTTCTATTCATATTACTATTCCTACTTCTATTACTATTTCTATTCATATTTCTATTCCTATTGCTATTCCTATTCATAATTCTATTTATATTTCTATTCACATTCGTATTTCTATTCATATTTTTATTCCTATTCTTGTTCCTATTTCTCTTCCTATTCATATTTCTATTCCTATTCACCTTCCAATTCATATTTCTATTCGTATTTCTATTCCTATTTATATTCCTATTTGTATTTCTACTCATATTCCTATTCATATTCCTATTCCTACTCCTATTCCTATTTATATTCATATTTCTATTCCTATTGCTATTCCTAATCATAATTCTGTTCATATTTCTATTCCTATTCGTATATATTCATATTTTTATTTCAATTAATATTTCTATTCCTATTCACATTTCTATTCATATTTCTATTTCTATTCCTTTTCCTACTCCTATTCCTATTTCTATTCATATTTCTATTCCTATTGCTATTCCTATTCATAATTCTATTCATATTTCTATTCCTATTCGAATTTACATTTCTATTCATATTCCTATTTTTATTTACATTCATTTTCCTATTTCTATTTCTACTCATGTCCCTATTCCTATTTCTGTTTCCATTCTTGTTCCTATTCCTGTTCCTATTTCTATTCATAATATTATATTCATATTTCTATTCCTATTCGTATATATTCATATTTCTATTCCTATTCACATTTCTATTCATATTTCTATTTCTATTCCTTTTCCTACTCCTATTCCTATTTCTATTCATATTTCTATTCCTATTGCTATTCCTATTCATAATTCTATTCATATTTCTATTCCTATTCGAATTTACATTTCTATTCATATTCCTATTTTTATTTACATTCATTTTCCTATTTCTATTTCTACTCATGTCCCTATTCCTATTTCTGTTTCCATTCTTGTTCCTATTCCTGTTCCTATTTCTATTCATAATATTATATTCATATTTCTATTCCTATTCGTATATATTCATATTTCTATTCCTATTCACATGCTATTCCTATTCCTATTTCTATTCCTATTCCTATTCCTATTCCTATTCCTATTCCTATTCCTATTCCTATTCCTATTCCTATTCCTATTCCTATTCCTATTCCTATTCCTATTCCTATTCCTATTCCTATTCCTATTCCTATTCCTATTCCTATTCCTATTCCTATTCCTATTCCTATTCCTATTCCTATTCCTATTCCTATTCCTATTCCTATTCCTATTCCTATTCCTATTCCTATTCCTATTCCTATTCCTATTATATATTATATATTATTATATTATTTTCTTTTTATTATTCCTTTTAAACATTTTTATTTCAACTTCAATCAAGTTTAATAATAATTCCGAAAAATATATAATAATAATAATTAATAATTTGAGGTAAATTTACATATTTTAAATAATCAGAATAAATAATTGAATCGATAGGATTATAATTTTGTTGAACATGGTGCACAAATTCAAGTTAAAAGCTCACTAACGTTTCAGGCTAGTCAGGCGCCATATTCGATATATTCAAGTAATTTCTCGTTTTATGCGTGTCGGTGCTATTACACACGCACACAGACACACACTCACTCACTTCAACATATGTACGTCGAGAATGTAATGCGCTTTGGCCAGAGAGTTTAGCTCCATACAATTCTCATGAACGAGAGATGGAAACCCTTAACGATTGTAGAATTTTAAAACGTCCACGTATGAACAGAGCAAATAAATAGATTTAAAAAAAAAATATTCTAAAGGTTAACAAAATATATCTATATATATATATATATATATATATATATATAGTGAGAGAGAAAGAGAAAATCGTTAAAAAGAAATCAGTGACAGTCAAAGAACGTGACACTTTTTAGTTGAATGTATTTAAAATAAAAAAAGAAGGAGACAAATGGAAATATTTCGTTTAAATCACGCACATGAGAAATAAAAATCTATTTCCTGGTTAATTTTTTTTTCATCTCTGGAAATTATTATTAGTATTTAGTATAATGTATTATCACTCTAATATATGCAATATAAGTGAAATATTACTTTTTATTTAACAATATTTCAGTAAACTTTACCATAATAGAATACAATTTAATACAATAACAAATTCTCTATGGATATCAAATTCAGACAATGAACGAATCAAAAGTGTTGCAAAGAAATGTTTTAGAATAGGAATATGAATAGGAATATAAATAGGAATAGAAATACGAATAGAAATAGGAATAGAAATATGAATAGGAATAGGAATAGGAATATAAATAGAAATAGGAATAGGAATAGAAATAGAAATACGAATAGAAATAGGAATAGAAATATGAATAGGAATATGAATAGAAATAAGAATATGAATAGGCAAAGAAATACGAATAGAAATGTGAATAGGAATATAAATAGAAATAGGAATAGGAATATTAAAAGGAATAGAAATATGAATAAGAATATTAATATGAATAAGAATATGAATAAAAATAGGAATATGAATAGGAATATGAATAGGAATAGAAATACGAATAGAAATATGAATAGGAAGATGAATAGGAATATAAATAGGAATAGAAATTCCCGGGAACAAATTTTGTTTTCAGAAATAAAAAAACAATACTCTTATAATTATTATTTCCTATCATGAAATGTGACAAAATAGATAGACAATTAAAAGAGAAATATTGCTCTTGATTATTCGTTATTGACTTGAACGCACACAGTATGTATACATATATATATTTACACAGTGAAGAGAGAAGAAAATAGAAATAAAAAATTGAAAATGAAAATAAAAAAACAAAACTCAATTCTCGTGATCCGCCTCTGACATTGATTTGAATTTGCAATATTTAATGATAAAGAAGAGAGACCACGGTTTGTGACACATTTGCCATAATGCATATACATAGTCGACGAGGCGATAACTGTGATTAAGTGGCCCAGATCGATAACAACAAATTACTTTTATAAAGTGAGTCTATTTTTTTCTCCGCTTCTTTCCACAATTTATTCTTAGGAATAAAATAAATTGTGAGAAAATAAAAAAAAGTAAAAAGAAAGTTATTTTATGACAAATTTTTATAACAAAAGAAGCAAGAAATGAAACTAAAAATTACATTTCCTGGAATATTTTTTTTTTTGATATTCCATCCATATTCCTAGAAATAAAATTAAAAATGACATCTTCTGGAAAAATTTTTGGGAATATTCTATCCACATTCCTAGAATACTCCATTCGAACATTCCATCCATATTTCTAGAGTATTCCCTTTGAATATTCCATTCATATTCCTAGAATACTCTATCCACATTTCTAATATATTCCCCTGGAATATTCCATCCGTATTCCTAAAATATTCCCTGGAATATTCCATTTACATTCCTGGAATATTATATTCACATTCCTGTATAATTTTCCTGAGAAATATTCTTAGAAAATTCCATTCACATTCCTGAAATATTCCTCAGGAATATTCCATCCACATTTTAGTAATATTAAAAATTGTAATGTAAAAATTTTCTCATGTTTCTTGGGAATATTGTAATAATATATAATAATTTTTGTAATATTAAAATGTCCGACCCAAGGAATATTCCTTCGAAATAATGTAGGAATATTACAGCAAAATATTGTGTGAATATTCCATAGGAAATTTGTAAAAATGATTTTTATCAATATTTTTGATGATACACTAATCATTTATATCGCCATTTAAATAAATTGTAAATTCAAATAGTAATATTCATGCTTTATTCAAATGATAATAATCCAATGGAATATTTCTATTTTATTTTAAAAGTCGGACAGTTGATATTCCTAAAATTTGAATGGAATATTCAAAAGGAATATTTTACCAGAATTCCACTAGAATATTCTAACAATATTTTGATGGAATATTTTTACATTTGAATATTCCAGGAATGTAAATTAAATATTCATGTATACTATTAGGGTTTTTCTTTTAATTCGGATTAGAATTATAATGGAATATTTCTACTTTGAATTAAAGGAATATTTAAAAAATCAGACATTTTAATAGCAATACTTCAAATATAGATGCGAAATATTCCAGAGGAATATTTCTACTGTTGTAATGTAAAATTCCACGGGAATATTCGCACTGTTATAATAGAATATTTCAAAGGAATATTAGCATTGTTCTCATGCAATATTCCATAGGAATATTTCTACTGTTATAATAAAATATTCCACAGGAATATTCGTACTGTTAGAATATTCTAGAGGAATATTATTTTTTACTTATATAATGGGATATTCCATAGGAATATTCCCAGTGTTATAGTGGAATATTTAACAGGAATATTTCTACCGTTATAGTGGAATATTACACAGTAATAATTCTACAGTTATAGTGGAATATTTCACAGGAATATTAACATTGTTCTCTTGCAATATTCCAGAGGATTATTTTCAATGTTCGAATGGAATATTCCTAGAATGTGAATGAAGTAGTTCATACAATTGGGGTTCTTTTTAATTTTTAAATATAAATAATAGAATTGTGTGCGGGTCTATAAATAAAAATTGTGGAACGTTATCATTGCCCGTGGGAATAAAATCAGAGGAGGAATGAAGAGCAAAGTCGTGTATATATATATATTTATGTAGCCTGGAGCACATTCTAAATTTCTGAGGCTCTTCATAGTCAAACGACTCCTGAGGCTTTTGGAGATTGTTCTAGCATAATTGTTGAAAGTATGGCATAACCAGACACACGCATTCTCTCCCTTTTCCTAGCACATTATAGTACCCAGTTCGAGAGTAAGAGAGAGAGAGAGAGACAGAGAGAGTCATATTTTGTTGATTGAAATCTTATTTCTTATACGTAGATTTTAATTTTAATATTAACTATAATACAATATAGTAAAATAAAATAATATTATAAAAAAATAGAAAAGAATAGAACTGAGAATAGACTTTAATAAAATACAAATAAAAAGAAGATAGAAAAAATACGAATAGAAAGGGAATTAAATAGGATATAATTGATTACGAATGAAAGGAGAATAGAATTTAATGGAAGAAAGAGGGAAAAAATGCGAATAGTATACAATAGAATAAAAAATAATTGAATGGAATTTGAATAGACTGCGAATATGAATCAAAAGCAAATAGAATGGAATAGAAAAATATACAAATCGAATAGAGTAAAATAATGTATGCGAATAGATTAAAACAGAATGAGATAAAATTGAATAGATTACGAATAGAATACGAGAGTGGGAGAGGAATAGAATACAATAGAAAAAAGAGAAAAGAATAAAATGCGAATAGTATACAATAGAATAAAATATAATTGAATAGAATTTGAATAAACTGTGAATAGGAATAAAAAGCGAATAGAAAGCGAATAGAATAGAAAAATATAGAAAGCGAGTAGAATAAAATAAAGAAGAATAGTATGGGAATAGATTATTAAAGAATAAAATAAAATCAAATAGAATTCAAATAGAATGCAAGTAGGAGAGGAATAGAATATAATTGAAACAAGAGAATAGAATAGAATAGAAAATAATGAAATGTGAACAATATAGAAAATAGAATAGAAAACAATTGAATAAAATCCCTTATTGTAAAATATGAATAGAATTGAATAGAATTCGAATAGAAATAGAATTGTGTATGAAATATAGTTGAATGCAAATAGAACAGAATACAACAGAATATTAAGTAAATTTTAATTTTTTAATTCTAAAATAAATAAAAATAATTTTTAATTTTATGCATTAAATTTTACTCTATATTTTTTATGCTTTTTTCGTTTCAATAACTAAAATTATTTGAATAGAAAATATTTTCTTTATTAAATTTGGATAATTATAATGTATTTTTTAATTGTTTTGTATTGTGATATACATAATGTATATTTAATTTAATTAAATTAGAAAATTAATTTTGTCTTGTTATTAAACATGGAGCTAAGAAAAGTAATGTGAAATGTTCGAAAATGCTTTGTCTGTATATATATATATTGTTTATATGTATAATATGGCGGAATATGAAATTACACATAAAGGATGTGAAAGCTCGGAAAACAAATATCTTGATCAAACTTCATTCTCTCCGTCGGTTGTTTTCAAGAACAACAAGAGCATAACTATATATATAGTAAATTCAGAATAAATATTCTTCCTCTAATATTCTATATATGCCATTTTATAGCAAATATTATACTTTTTTTTAAAATTTATGTTGTATAGAACATATGACATGAAACTAATTATAATATATAATATAAACTTAATTTCTTCTCTTTTAATTCCAATAAAAAAACATTGAAATTAATTAAAAATTATAAAAGAGAAAAAAATAACTTTATATTTATACTTATAATTACAAGACACCGTTTCTGCAGATATTTAATCATTACCTTTTTGAATGTAACCAAAAGTTTGTTTGAGTAGATGAGCTGATATATATAGAAGAGAGAAAGAGAGAGAAATTTCTATCTCGCTGGCCCTTTGAATAAACTAACTTTCTCAAAGATTGCTTGTTAGTTTCTTGATGTGTCCTAAGTAAATTTTTCAAAAAAAAAAGAACTTTTTACTTGTGAACTTTTACATTTTAAAAATAAATTTATTTCACCCCTCTTCTTACTATTCAATATTAATTTAACTCGGTAATTGGATTTCGTTAAAAGTTTCACAAAATATACATTTTTCATTTAAATTTAAATTTAATTAAAAAAAAGAAACATCAAAATTGTCCACTTCAAATTAAACCAATATTTATCTTATTCATCGAAAAACTTTCATATACACTTAACATGCAAAAAAAAAAAATGTAACCAATAAACTTTTCCAACTTTTTTTTATAAATAACAAGACATTTTTTATATCAATAAAAAAGATCTCTTTGATTATCAAAAAATATTTTATTAATAAACAAAAAATATATATAATTAAATAAAATTTACGATTTTCTTATCAACATTATCGACCTATTACCATTGATAGTATCAAACGTTTGTCATCGATACTATCAAGTCTTCATTATCTATGTACTATCATATATATTTTATATCAACATTTTCGTTTGTCTATTATCGATACTATCAAATGTTTGGTAACGATATCATTGATCGTTTACTGTCAATACTAGTGCTTTTTAATATCACGACTATCGATTATTTTTTATTTAAAATATCGAATATTTACTATCGATATAATCGATTATTTACTATCGATATAATCAATTCTTTACTATCAATACTTTTTATTATTTACTTTCGATAATATCGATTATTTACTATCGATATAATCAAATATAGAATATAATCGACAATATCAATTATTTATTATCGATATAATCGAATATAATCAATAATATCGATTATTTACTATCGACATAATTGAATATATAGAATATAGTGTATAATATCAAGTATTTACTATCGATATAATCGAATGTTTACTAACGATAATATCGAATAGTTACTATCGATACTTTCTATTATCTACTATCGATACCCTCCTTTAACTACTATCGAAACCTTCGATTATCTAATATGGATACTATTGACTTTTCACTGCCGATACTATTTAAATTTTACTATCGATAATATCGATTAACTACTATCGATACCATCGACTTTTTTACTATTGATACAATCGACTGTTTACTACCGATACAATTAAAGTTTTACTATCGGTACCTTCCATTATGTACTATCGATACCTTCGATTATCGACCATCGATACGATTGATGTTACTATTGATAATATTAATATCGCTAATAATCGAATATCGATTATTCACTATCGATATAATCGAATGTTAACTATTGATAATATTAAACATTTACTATTACTATTAACTACTATATCGATGCCTTCGAATATCTACTATGGATACTATTCATTTTTCATTAACGATACTATTTAAATTGTACTATCGATAATATCGATTATCCAATCTCGATACGTTTGACTTTTTATTACCAACACTATTTAAATTTAAATATCGATAATTTCGATTATTTACTATCGATAATATTGCTTATTTACTGTCGATACAAACGAATTTTTTTAACTATGGATACAATAGACATTTTACTATCAATACTATCAATTATTCATTATCGATACAATCGACTTTTTACTATTGATAATATTGAAGCTTTTCTTTCGATAGTTTCGATTATTTACTATCAATACTTTCGGTTATTTACTATCGATTATTTGTTATCGATATAATCGACTGTTTACAAGATACTTTCGATTATTCACTATCAATAATTTCGATTATATACTATCGACGCTTTTCATTATTATTCACTATCGATACAATAGTCTGATTACTATCGATACGACTCAAGTGTTACTAACAATCCTTTCTATTATTATTCAATATCGATACAATAGCTTCTATCGATAAGATGAATCGTTATCGATTATGTCAACAGTTTAATAACGAAATATCGATTGTTTAATATTGATAGGAATTATATTAAATTGAAGATAAATAAAAATTATGGTCAGTTGCTTTTTTTTTGTTTCAAACTCACAATATGAATAGAACGTCAATCTATTGCAGTGTAATATTTTTCACCGATCATTGACTTCAATCATTGCGGAAGTGACCAAGCAGGTTTTATGTTGCTTGCGCCCACGTTTTAGTCCTTTATAACCGTATCGCAAATATTATTTACCGTGGTAGTAAAATTGAATTATATGTGTAGCATGATGAATATATATATATATATATATATATATATATATATATATATATATATATATATATATATATATATAGAAATATTTAAAAGCATTTTTTTTTATTTTTGGTTTTTATCCTTTTTATTCCACAACTTTCTAATTTTACATACTCTATATTAGGTGTAAGATCAACAAAAATTATTACTATTACTATCGAAAATATTAATTAATATCAATATTAATATCGACAATATCAAAATTAATATCGATAAAATTAATATCGATAATATCAATATTAATATCAATAATATCGAGATTACACTCAATAATATTAATATCGAAAACCAATATTACTATCGATAATATCGCTGTTACTATCGATACTATTAATTTTATTGTCGATAATATAAATGTTACTATCGATAACATCGATGTTACTATCGATAATACCGATTATACTAACGATAATATTAATATCGATGTTACTTTCGATAATATTAATATCAATGTTACTATCGACAATATTAATATCAATGTTACTATCGATAATATTAATATCAATGTTACTATTGATAACATCGCTGTTACTATCGATAATACCGCTGTTCCTATGGATAATATCGATGTTACTATCAATAATATTAATATTACTACCTATAACATCGATGTTACTATCCATAATATCGATAATACTAACGATAATATTAATATCCATTTTACTATCGATAGTATTAATATCAATGTTACTATCGAAAATATTAACATCGATGTTACTATCGATAATATCGATGATACTAACGATAATATTAATATCAATGATACTATCGATAACATCAATGTTACTATCAATAATATTACTGTTACTATCAATAATATCGATGATATCGACGATAATATCAATATCGATGATATCGACGATAATATTAATATCTATGATACTAACGATAATATTAATATCAATGTTACTGTCGATAATATTAATATTACTTTCGATAACATCGCTGTTACTATCGATAATATTAATATTGATGTTGCCATCGATTATATCGATTATACTATGGATAATATCGATGTTACTATCAATAATATTAATCTTACTATCGATAATATTAATATTACTATCGATATTCGTGTTGATAATATTAATTGTTGTTACTTTCGATAATATCGAAATTATCGTCATTACTATTGATACGCAATTATATTATTCGTTTTTCCTCAATCGATGTATCATTCCTTTTTAATTCGCTGATGGACAATTAAAAATCAATTTATATTAATAGAAATAAAAATGATATCTTTTTTAATCGATATTTTCAGCTTTATTGCAGTGTCAGTGCGTAATATAGTTTTAGTATATACATATATATATGAATTTATCCGCACGGCTATTTTGAGGTCAAGCATTGGGGATTTGACTAAATAAACAACACTTAATTGACCCAGTTTGTTTGAAATCCTAATTAAAGCCTCAAATAAACAATATAACAATACTTGATTAAATTTAATTGCAAACAATAAAAAGTATTTAATGATAAATTATTATTAGTAATTTTTATCATTTTGTTGATAGTTTAGTTTAGAGAAAAAAAAACGAAATTTATTTTCTTCTTTTCTAATTTTCGTTGAAATACACGTCAAATAGGGACAAATTTCAATGTTTGGTGAATGAAGAGCAATGTAGGTGCAGAGAGAAGGAAATTGTGGTTTACATTGATTGGTGGTAAAAGTATATACTCTATACGTCATTGGGTTACTGAATGTGAATATATATATATACATACATTTATATTCTATAGTAATAAATGGCAAGTTTTACTTTTTTCAACGATTCTAACACATCATACACTATACATATATGAAAAGAAGAGAAAATAAAATTGGGCTAATATGAAACATATTTCCAACTATTGATTTGACATTCAACACATTTTATATGCGATGGGTTTCACGTGAACTGACCCAAGTCAAATTTTAAATTATCTGGGTTTGCAGTTATTATCATATTGAATATAAATGACAAAAGAAAAAATTCGCTTTGATTTAAAATTCACATTTCTGTCTCTACTCTTCATTAACGATTAACGAATTTTAATAATTTAAATTAAAATTATTCTCAAAATTTTATTTATTATAATATGATTATTTAATTGAAATATTATTAGTTAGTTCTTCCCACTTTTCTATTTTTAATTTTAATAAATTAAAATTTTTCTAAAAAAAAGTTTATATTTAATAGAACAAAATTTGGAAAAAGTGAATTAGAAAAAAATTACATATATAATAAAAAATTTAAAAAGATAAAAAAAACTGGATCAGAATTATGAATTTCTAAAATGTAATTTATTTAATTTGTGTATTTATGAAAAAAGAAAGAAAGAAAAAAAGCTGCGACGCTATTTTAAATTTTGAAAATCTGTTGTAAAATTCTACAAATCCATTAACATATTTTCAAAATTCAAAATGGCGGATCCAATATAGCGTCAGCTTTTTTTAAATTTGAACGAATTTGCTTAAAACTATTCACTCGGGGGGTTTTCGAGGTCACTGATTTTAAATCCGTTCACAGATTTTCAAAATTCAAAATGGCGGATCCAATATGGCGTCAGCTTTTTTTAAATTTGAACAAATTTGCTTAAAACTATTCACTCGGGGGGTTTTCGAGGTCACTGATTCTAAATCCGTTCACAGATTTTCAAAATTCAAGATGGCGGATCCAATATGGCGGAAAAATTCCAAAAATTTTTGCATTTTTTACAATAATTTTTTTTTTTTTTTTAAACTTCGACAACAAATAAGCGACAATATTTCTTATTCAATTTCATGAGAACTCGAGTTTTGGATCAACACGCAAATACATCTTCAGTGTTTACCCCCTTATTTTTTTTCTTTGCCTTATTCGAGGACAAGTGAAGGGCAAATAAATTCGCGCCTTTCCAACGTTCGTTTCTACGTGCTTGAGTGCAAATGGAAAACTCCCAACCTGCACCTTATTGCCGGCAATGTTCTGCCTTATTATTATATCCCATCGAGAGTCAACTCCCACAGAGAATAAGAGAGAGAGAGAGAGAGAGAATTGTTTTCTAAGTCGGGTAAAAAGCGATTTTCGTAAATTGTCCACTGCCAACTGCTAATTTCAAATGTCAACGGCACACAAGTTTTATAAACTTTAAACTTATTTCATAAAATTTACTTTTTCAATAAATTTTGACGAGAGAAATTTTAGGAAAAAAGAAAATCTAGTAAAAAAAAATCTAATACATTAAAATTTTGTTAAAAATAAAAACGATATTTATAGGTGAACTTTTGTAATTTTCGTACTAAAACAATTTTTTTTTGTACAAAAACAATTCTTTTTGTAACTAAAAACTTTTTTACAAAAAAAATAAAACATTCAAACGTTCAATTTCAAAAATATTAAAAATTTAATTGAAAATAAAATTTCTTTTATTATTTAACGAAAAAATTTCTCTCTAGGAAAAAAATTATCGCACTAATGTCACAGTGCAGATTGCAGAGTAGTAAAATCAATAAAAAAACTTTTAAAAAAATAAAAAAAATTGTAAAGTGAGAAAGTAAAACTAATAAAATAGTTGAGAATGAAACATAAACATATACGAGTATAATTTGTCGACGTTGCATTATGTGACAAAGTAAACATGCTTGTTAGATTACAGTGTAAATATTGTCATCCAAACACGACGACACGCAATTACTGACCATCCCCTCTATATTTTTTGTTTTACTACCAAACCTCCCACCCCCTCCCCGTCCCATTGACAATTTTTATAATTTTCTAAAAAAAAATATTTTTCTTTCGACATTTTGAGAAATAAATCCTAAAAAATGGTTAAATAGACAGGGAAAAATTTCTTAAAATTCGATTTTCTCAGAGAGAGTTCATACTATTAAAATTTGTTCTATACGAAAGAAATGTATTTCAATGAGATGTATAAATTGTATGTAAAAAATTTATCTATTTACAATTAATATTGCAAATAATATTCAAAAACCGGATTTTAATAGGGTTATTCACGATTTTCTTAGAAAAATCGTGAAAAATTTTATTCTTATTAGAATAAAATTAATTTTTACTTATCTTATCAAATATTACGTAATTTGATGTGCTGAATAAAATAGTGCTTTGTAGATTTACATTAAAAATTGTATCATTAGTAAAATTCGAAAAAACTATTGAAAAAAGGCTTGAATCACGTTTTTTGTAAAGTTGTTCATTGAAATAAAAAATAATATACGAGTAAAATATGTATTTCGATAAGATTAACAGTTTTCTGCTATAAATTATTTGGTAAAATTCCCCAAAATTCGTAAATAATCGAAAAAAACCCAGGAATTTTTGGGGTTAATTTCGAATTTTGCCTAATATATTTAAACAGCGTGGACTTAAAATACAGAATTTTACATTATTTTAATAGTCTTTCTAACTGGTTAATTTAAAGTTTGTTTAAAAATAAAAATAATCTTGAAAATAGCAAAAAAACCGTATTCTTTGGGGGTAAGAGTTGATTTTCTTCCATTATATTTAAAAAATCTGGGCATTATAAACAGAATTTTATAATTATATTTGCAGTTTATTTTCAAGATGGAATATTTACAATTTGTCTAAAAATAAAAACAATCGTGAAAATCATGAAAAATCGTAAGTTTTGGGGGTTAATGATGATTTTCTTCCATTGTATTTAAAAAATCTGGGCATTATAAACAGAATTTTATATATTTGCAGTTCCTTTTCAAGGTGGAATATTTACAATTTGTTTAAAAATAAAAATAATCGTGAAAATCGCAAAAAATCGTATTTTTGGGGGGTTAATGTTGATTTTCTTTCATTATATTTAAAAAATCTGGGCATTATATACAGAATTTTATATATTTGCAGTTCCTTTTCAAGATGGTGTATTTAAAATTTGTTTAAAAATAAAAATAATTGTGAAAATCTCAAAAAACCTGGGAATAATCGTGAATTTTCAATTTTTAAGAAATGTTTTTTACTTTATGACACAATTGTATACAAGAAAAATGTGTATTTGGTTGATATTTACAGTTTTTTATGATAATTTTTTGGTAATATTTAGTAACTAGAGAAATGATCTCAAGAAACCGGATTTTTATCCGGTTTTTGACGATTTTCGCCTTTAAAATAAAATTCACCTACATTTTCACTATCAAAATTTCGGTCTTTTTACATCAAAATTTCAAAAAATAGTGTAAAATTTTCTTTTTGGTCAATTCTGTCTAAAGCTGAAGCATTAGTATATAGATACAGTATACATTTCAAAGAGATATTTAAAATGCTTTAAAAATCTATTAGAAATTTTTTGAAATTAAGAAAATCAGTCCAAAAATCCTAATTTACCCCATACAAATCTGTAATTTTCAATTATCAAAAAAACATTTGATTCTACATGAAAATTGTAAAGTGAAAAAAGCTGTATTTAAATGAAATCTCCATTTTTGGTCGTGTACATTTCTTTTAATTTTTCAAATTTGTCGAAATAATCCTAAAAAACCGGATTTTTATCCGGCTTTTCACGATTTTTTCCTTTAAAAATTAAATCCATTTGCATTTATGCTACTAAAATAGTAGCAGTTTTGTAATCCCTTTAAAATAGTAAATTCAAAAGTATTTAGTTCTTGGTATTTTTACGTTAAAATTTCTAAAAGCGCCGTAAAATTTTGTTTTTTAGCAATTTTCTAAAGTAATTAAGTAAATGTTTACAGATAAAATGTACATTTTAAAGAGATTTATATAATATTTTGAAAATCTATTATAAAGTTTGTGAAAATTAAGAAAATCAGTCCAAAAATCGTAATTAACCCCATAAAAATACGTAAATTGCGATTATCACAAGAACATTTGATTTCACATAAAAATTGTGTCTACAAAAAATGTGTATTTCAATAAAATGTATATTTTCGTCTAGTAAATTTTTCAAAAAATTTTCAAAATTTTTGAAATAATCCTAAGAAACCGGATTTTTATCTGGTTTTTCACGATTTTCTCCAATGAAATTACATTAATTTGCAATTTTATTATTAAAATATAAACAATTTTGTAATATCTTTGAAATAGTAAATTAAAAAAAATTTAATTTTTTGATTTTTAAGTCTAAATTTCAAAAAAATAATGTAAAATTTTGTTTTTTGACAATTTTCTCAAGAGGT